AGAAAGACTTATGAGCATGTAGATACATTTCCTATGTTTACATCTTTTGCTTTGATGCATATAGCCAAGATACATGTAACACATTGCTTACTCTTTCATGCCTATGCATTCACATGCTCTTATATTCCATATTTACATGATTGCATACATATAGGGGGAGCCTATGCATGTTACATGTCTTTCCAAAGCTTTACTTGTTATTCTCTATATCTTTATCTAAAGCTTTGATGTATATTGTCATCAATTACCAAAAAGGGGGAGATTGAAAGCACAAGTGCTCCCTAGGTGATTTTGGTAATTCATGTCAACATATCTCTTGTTGGACTAATGTTTTTATCTAGTATGCTTCAGATAAGTTCAACAATGGAGTGGCATGGACTAGATGATGTGGAACCCTTTTCAAGATGATAAGGACAAAGGATTGGCTCAAGCTCAAAGCTCAGGAATCTACATTTTTCATTTTAGTGATCCAAGATCACATTGAGTCCATAGGAAATCCAATACTATTAAGAGGGGATGAGGTGTTGCTTAATGGCTTGCTTGCTCATAGTGCTTAGTGATATGCTCCACAACCCTCAACCACTTTATCAAATCCACATATGTCCCAAACCAAAAGTCAAACTCGGCCCTACAGACATTTCCTATCCAGTGCCACCGAGTTCACTTGACATAGCCACTGCCAGAAACCCTAGTCACTTCGGTCTCACCGATAGGGATCTCGGTCTCACCGAGATGGGATTGCAAACTCTCTGTGTCCCTTCGTAACGTTTCGGTCCAACCGAGATGAGCGATCGGTCCCACCGAGATTGCAATGCAAACTCTTTGTTTCTCCTTCATAACGTTTCGGTCTAACCGAGATGAGCGAATCGGTCCCACTGAGTTTGCCTGACCAACTCTTTGTTTGCCTATTACCAAAATCGGTCCGACCGAGTTTGTGTAATCGGTCTCATCGAGATTACGTTATTCCCTAACCCTAATGGAATCGGTCCCATCGAGTTGACATGTCGGTCCCACCGAAAACCCTAACGGTCACATTATGAACCAAATCGGTCCGACCGAGTTTTATGATTCGGTCCCACCGAGTTTGGTGATTTGCGTGTAACGGTTAGATTTTGTGTGGAGGCTATATATACCCCTCCACCCACTCTTCATTTATGGAGAGAGCCATCAGAATATGCCTACACTTCCAACATACATTTTCTGAGAGAAAACCACCTACACTTGTGTTGAGGTCAAGATATTCCATTCCAACCACATAAATCTTGATCTCTAGCCTTCCCCAAGTTGCTTTCCACTCAAATCATCTTTTTACCAAATCCAATCGTATGAGAGAGAGTTGAGTGTTGGGAAGACTATCATTTGAAGCACAAGAGCAAGGAGTTCATCATCAACACACCATCTATTACCTTTTGGAGAGTGGTGTCTCCTAGATTGGTTAGGTGTCACTTGGGAGCCTCCGTCAAGATTGTGGAGTTGAACCAAGGATTTGTACGGGATAGGAGATCGCCTACTTCATGAAGATCTACCCTAGTGAGGCAAGTCCTTCGTGGGCGATGGCCATGGTGGGATAGACAAGGTTGCTTCTTCATGGACCCTTCGTGTGTGGAGCCCTTCGTGGACTCGCGCAACCGTTACCCTTCGTGGGTTGAAGTCTCCATCAACGTGGATGTACGATAGCACCACCTATCGGAACCATGCCAAAAATCTCCGTGTCTCCAATTGCGTTTGCACACTCCAATCCCATCCCTTTACATTCTTGCAACTTGCATGATTTACTTTCCGATGTTCATATACTCTTCATCATGCTTGCTTGATATGTATTGTGAATGTTTGAACTTGTGCCAAAACTCCACTTCACCTTAAAGAAATTAAAAACTGTAACTTTTCTTGCTAAGAGTCTATTCACCCCCCTCTAGACACCTCTTCTTGATCGTTTCATGGGTACTGAGCTTTCGTGCGACCAGGCGGACATGAACCTCTTTAGAGCTTGCACCACCATAACCCTGGGTAATGGACGCAAGGCCCTTTTCTGGCATGACAATTGGAGGGAAGGGCCCCATGATTCTTATTGCACCTACGCTTTTCGAGATCACTTCTAGAAAGAACATGACAGTGCATGATGAGCTAACGAACGACAACTAGATCCGTGCAGTGGTCAGCCTCCAGGCCCTACATCAGTTGGGAGAATTTGTCACCTTATGGGAGTGGGCCAATCAGACTTCTCTTCTACCGATCCAAGAGGATGGCATTTCTTGGAACCTGACCACTAATGGAGCTTGCTCTTTGGCATCGACCTACGCAACACAATTCTTCGGCTCCCATCCGAGGTTCAACTATTCGAAGGCCTGGTCTGCCCACGCAGAGCCCAAGTGCAAACACTTTGTGTGGCTTCTCCTGCACGGAAGAATCCTCGCCGCTAACAGGCTGGCTCTGAGGGGTTGGCCGCATGACCCGAGATGCCAACTATGCTCTTTCAGGAGCTTGAAACGTCAACCCACCTTTGCAAGGATTGTCCCTTTTCTGTTGCGATCTGGAACTAGGTGAACTCTTGGACAATCTACCTGCTTAAGCCGGGCGCCGTGTCTGACGCGTGAAAATTTTGCTTGCAAATGAGTAAAAAAAATATCCATTGATGACGAGGCAGTAATATCATCTACACTTTATGGTCTATCTGAAAAGAAAGAAACATGTGCGTCTTCACAGGTTTTCGCATGACACATCAGAAGGTTGTGATGTTGGACTGAGTCCATAAAGCAGTAGGATTTGCCATTTGTTGGGGTCATGCCAACTATGGGCATTGGCTGAGTGCACTTTTTTCTTTTTCTCGATGTTTTGTCACATTCCCTAAAAACGTGCGTCACTCTATAAAAGTAGCAGGTGTGTGAATCCAAGTGGTTAATTAAGGTTATTTTTGTGACGGCGATCCTAGTGATATACTATGTGCTTGTAGATTTTATGCCTATGATTCGTTTGCGTGAATCAAAGTAGAAACTCAGGCCCACAATTGACACTCCCGTTAATTCAAGAACAAATTTCTTGGGCAAGCAATCCTCATATTGCCACAATGCTTAGAGTTAACGATTAATTACCTAAGCTACCTCTTGCTGATTTATTGGAAGCGAGTAAAGCGACAGCCTATTCCTCGAACATTCTCTTAGCTTTCAAGCAACCAACCAGCAAGAAGGAATCCACTTTTGCTGCAAGTTGGGACAAGTCGAGGAGAGGGATTTGTTCCCAAGGAAATGAAGAGAAGCTTCCTCCATGACCAGGCGAGATTCTCTTCTCTTCTTCTTTTCCGGGCAAGAGCGCTCTTCGATCACCATGAGAAAAGGAGTTGTTCCAAATTACAGCGCGGTGCGTCAAGCTTTTCAACTGAAGAATCCCCACCCGTACTAGCAAACTGAGCAAGCTCCTGAGCTACAGTGTCATCGCCTTTAACAACCTTAGCCTCCGAGATAACCTCGTAGTACCACTGACCACGCCAGAATAATTTATTGCTAACCCGCGCAACTAGAATTAATCTGCTGCAAGCGTAGAAGAAACTGAACTCGGGAGGAATTTACGGATTCTGTTCCAACAGGAGGCCGGTGGCCGCCGCTCTTTGCTTGCTTGCTCTAACGCTTTGAGTGTGTTGCACTTGCCTTAGCCTCTGCTCTCTCCTGTCCACATGTACTGAGACAGCTAGCACAGATCCACACAGGATTGCTACTTGGCGATGCCACGCTAGCTCGCTGTTCAATTCCTTACTCGTGAAAACTATTAGCACCAGGCAAGTAAATGAAATGAGAAATAATTCTAAACAGCCGGCTGATCTAGCGCAGGGCATCCGCCGCCTCCCTTGCTCGACACGTGGACTACTGGAGCACGCCTGTATCCTCATCTTATCTCTGCAACAGCAGCGAACGACAATTATTCAAGTGCACGACGTTGCTAGAGATGTTTGCAATTTTTTTAACATGGGTCTTGTTGCAGAAAATTAGATGCGCCGGATATGCGTTTGCAACTTTTGCAATAAGAGTCTTGTCGCAGAAAATTAGAGAAGAAGAGGTTTGTGCAACATGGGTCTTGGTGGGAAAATTAGATAAGAGAAGGTTTTGCATCATGGATCTTGTTACAGAAAATTAGAGAAGTGAAGGTTTTGCAACAAAGGTCTTGTTGCAAAGGAACGATACGGATAGGTCGCACCAATGAATCGGACGGCTCGCATGGCAGCGGCCTTTTAAATAGATCCATGGGCCGACGCGTAGTACGTCCCAAATAAAATGGAATTACTAAAATTCTCAAAAGGATAATTTTGGAGCGAAATCGACACGTCCCAAGGTTGCTTCTCATGACAATAACCAATCAGATTTTGCCAAGTCCAATTCACCTGGGATATTTGTGCAAGTCTGAGCGGTCCATGTCTCGTTGATAAGAAGATTCGCGTTGTGGACGGCTAGCAACAGGCCAACAATACATGCACCATCGACTTAGACATTCCGAAATCTTCTGCCGACTCAGGCGTGGACGGCCTCTGACAAATCAATCGTTCAACAATACATAAATTTTAAGAATAATAACAACATGTATTTATGAATATATAGAAACGACAATGATATATTGGGCCACCGTAGAATCTAGTTCCTGGCAGGCATACAATGGCATCGCAACGCAACCCCCTCCGCTAAGGAAAAAGGAGAATCAGTGAAGACGCAAGCAAGGGAAGCAAAGCAAAGCGAGGCCATGCCATGCCATGCCAAGTTGCCTGCCAACCCCCAGAGCCAAACCCAACAAAAGGGAGCGAAAGGTGGTGGAGTCAACCACATAGCGTGAGTCTTACCCGCCCCAACCGCCGAAAGCTATCCGACGCGGCCTTTACCCCTCACGCCAGCCCACGCTACAAAGAGCCGAGCATACCTTCCCAGGCCGTCCCCTACACACACAATCTAGTCTCCTGATCTCGTCGTCTCTCAATCCCGTAGATCACTTCCACAGTTGCCAGCCAGCCGCCCGGATTAGCCATGTCCTGCTTCGCCGTGCCCGTGCGCACCTCGTCGTCGTCGTCGAGGATAAGCGGCAGCAGGCAGCCGTGGCGGTGGTGGCGCAAGTGCGCGGGCCTCGCCGCCGCGGCGCACACCAAGCTCCGCCGCACCGCCTTGCGTGTCCGGTGGTCGGCCACGGGGCGGCTGGGCGGCCACCGTCGGCGCGCGCCGGCGCCGCCCCTGCTGTCCGTGCAGCGCGGGGACCACATGAGCTTCGCGCCGGTCTACGTCGACGAGCTCTACAGCCAGCCCAAGGGCCTCAGCGTCGTCCACGAGGAGCAGCAGCCGCAGCCCAGCACCAGCAAACTCGCGCGTCCAGCCGGCAGTGTGAACAAGGCACGCGTGCATGGCGTAGCCGCTGCTACCGGTGGCAACAAAGCATGTGCGGCGGCGGCGGCCGCCAAGAGCCTCGGCGTAAGGGGCTTCTTGCTGAGCCCGGGCAGAGGGTGCGTTGGGATGGGGGAGGTGGACGTGAGGGCGGAGATGTTCATCAGGAAGTTCAGGGAGGAGATGAGGCTGCAGAGCCAGAGGTCGGCCGAGGAACTCCAGGCCATGCTTGCAAGAGGCCTATGACCTCCATCATACTAATAGTAATAACTCATCTTCTCATGGATGTACTTAATTAGCCACGAGGATGCGTAGATTAGCTATAGCTTGGTTTGGTTTGCGATTTGGGTAAATGTTTCGATTGGGAGCTTGGTTTTCGCCTTGTATATAGGATTGTAGTATTCGTTGATCGCATGGAAGTACATGTATTATTGGGTATTCATTACAAGAAGAAAAGATGTGTTGAACACTTATAACAGCCTCGGTATTCATTATTGTTCTTCCGAGCTTGTCGACAGCAGGCATCTACTGTGAAAGGTGTGTGTTGACTTATAAACCAGGCTAATGTCCAAGCATGCCCACCTGGAAAGAAAAAGGGTTGTTTGGTTGGTTGGGCTGCATCAGAATGTTGCATCGCACCGAACCTAAAGCACCTCCCAGTCAGGCCTGCTAGGAACGGCCGAATTAGCCGTTACCAGCGAGCTAGGCTCGAGTGGTGCAGGGGACGAGTACGCGGCACTGACCTCCCCGAAAAAACAGCGGGAGGAATTGGCGTCACCTCCTCCCGAATCGACCGCCCTATATAGTCAGCCTCACCATCCCCCCTCCCCAAAAACTG